TTCCGAGGCTATAAATCTTTACGGGAGCAGAACGCCTCATCTTTCTCCCACAGAGCAGCTGGTAGTTTCGAACTGTTGGCCTTAAGGTTCGCAGCCCGATTCGTAACCACTACGCTACCAGAGCGATATATATATATTAAGCATTGGACAGCGAGGTTGCATTGAACTGCAAGGTTCGCAGTTCAAAGTCACCAGCCACTCCTCAGAAAACCTATACAGGGTCGCTATGAGTCAGAACTGACTCTATGGCACTTAACAACAAGTGCTTATATAGAGGCAGTCCTCACTTTGCATGGTACCATGTTGCCTGAACCTCCCTCATATTTGAACAACATTTTTGCTTTGCCTGGTTCTTCCTGCAGAGTGAGGATTGCTTGTATTTACAAGTTTATAAATGCAATGTCTTACTTAAATAGTGTTTTTTTGTGTTTTTTTTTCTGTCTTTAGGCTATTAGACCAGCTTCCAAGAGCCAATGTTGTTCTCCTAAGGTATCTTTTTGGAGTATTGCATAACATTGAGCAACACTCTTCATCCAATCAGATGACTGCATTTAATTTAGCAGTGTGTATCGCGCCAAGCATTCTTTGGCCTCCTACTTCCTCCAGCCCAGAACTAGAAAATGAATTTACAAAAAAGGTAATGAAGTTTTCATTTTTATGCCCTGACTGGGGGACTGAGCTCCCATTTGGAACCTGAAATTCAGGGTGTTCTGGAAGATGTTTTCTTAAGAACTTTAATTATATCTCCAAATAAATTTGAGTTTACTGACTATGGAGTGTTTTATCCTATCCTGGTAGACTGTGGGAAGATGATTTGTTAAGTAGAAAAGTTTCAACAACTGGATTACTACCCTTCTCTCACTAAACATTACTTAAACCACAGAATGATAAGAAAGCAGTTGCTATGACTTAATTTTTATTTATTTTTTTTTTTTTTTAAGGCAAGAGCTTATAGAGTAGACAAGACAGGTCCGATTCTCAGCCCTTTGACTTGCCAGATGTACATTTGGGGCCAAAGTTAATTACATTGATCCAGAGTTTCCTCATCTGCAAAAATGGGAGTTGTGTTAATCCTTACTTTATCCAAGAGGCTTGAGGATATTAATTCCCTTTGCATCCAGTACCCCACCTGCCCTGCCAATTACAGCACCTGCAGAGAATCCCTCAGCTACCATCCTCACCTCTACCATTGGAGCAGGGAAATGATTGAAAGGTTCCTATATGTCTCAGTGGAGGCACAAGTTATCCCAGTGAAATCTTACCTCTTCCCAAACCACTTCCAGTTAGAAGCTAGAGGGAAGGCAATACATGGGGCTTTAGACAGACAAAAGATAAGTTTTCTCTCCAGCTGCCTCTCCTTCACAGCAGACCCACAGAGGACACTTTTCCAATTATGGCAGCCTGCTTTACATCATAAAATGTATACATTTGTGTCTAATTGATGCTTTGTAGTTGAAAGGAATAATCTTCACCCTATGGATATTACTTGAAATAAGCTAATCTTAAAGATGGAGCCATTGGTATAAAAATGTTAGCATTAGGCAAAGGCCACAAATAATAACTTTTGTTCGCAGATTATAATTTATGTAACTTCTGTGCCCAAACTGCTCTTGAAAGTACCATTTTTAGGGGAAACTGCTTTTTATACATTTATATCACATCTAAAAGTTCTCTGATTTCTTTTATATCTTTTGTTAGAGTCAAGATTCATGTGTGAAGGATTATTTATAAACATGTTATATGAAAAGAATCACTTCATTTTTGTCTCTTTTTTTGGTATAGGTTTCTCTGCTTATACAATTTCTGATTGAAAATTGCTGTAGGATATTTGGAGAAGAAATCACTTCCCTCTTGGGAGAGATTTCAGTGAGATGTGATAATAGAGAGAATGCCTCAGGTACTGTAAATAATATGATTGGCTCTCATGAGACATAGACCACATATCTATGTGGGGGTGGGGGGTGGGGGGTGATGCTCACGTGGTGACTATTGTGGTGAGGGCAGCACCTAAGCTGGATCCATGGGACGCAGACCTCTGCTCCTTCCTCAGGAGGTCTGCTAATAGGTCCTGGCATGTGGTTAGGATTAAGAAATTGATAAAATGAAGTGATATGCTTCAAGACTTTGTAAATAGCAATATGCTGTATTATGTTACAGTGTACACCTTTTTAAAATAAAACTTAACCTAATTCGAGGGAGCTTCAAAAACTTGTGGAAGGGCGATTTGGAAGGTGACCTCATGGGTCTCAGGGACCCAAAAACTAAGTTGTTCTTCACGCCCCAGAGGCTGTGCCCAGTGGCTTTGCTTCCATCACCATGCCACAAAATAAATATATTGAGTTACACTGTAAACGCTATGGATATTGTTTGGATTATCATAAGAAAAACAGAAAGATGTAAAGTGGAGAGTCTCATGAACATTCGAAGAAGGCCAAAGAGATGATTGATCTGAAGGCTAAGCTCTACCATAAACAGCACGATGCTGAGAAAATACAAATGGAAAAGACTATCAAGATGCATGAAAAGAGAAACACCAAATAGAAGAAGGATGAGAAGACTCCACAAGGTGCAGTACCTGCCTATCTGCTAGACAGAGATGGGCAGTCCAGAGCTAAAGTACTTTCCAATATAATTAAACAAAAAGAAAAGGAGAAAGTGGGGAAATGGGAAGTCCCTCTGCCCAAAGTCCTGCCCAGGGAGAAACAAAAGTATTAAAAGTTATTCGGATAGGAAAGAAAAAACAGAAAGCATGGAAAAGGATGGTTACCAAAGTTTGCTTTGTTGGAGATGGCTTTACACGAAAACCACCTAAATATGAAAGATTCATCAGACCAATGGGCTTAACTTTCAAGAAGATTTATGTAACACATCCTGAACTTAAAGCCACCTTTTGCTTACCAATACTTGGTGTGAAGAAGACTCACTCATCCCCACTCTATACACCTCTGGGTGTGATCACCAAAGGGAATGTCACTGAAGTCAACGTGAGCAAGTTGGGCTTGGTGACACAAGGAAGCAAGGTTATCTGAGAGAAATATGCTCAAGGTACCAACAATCCTGAAAATGATGGATGCATAAATGCAGTCTTACTGATTTGACAGCAGTTTCCTTTAAGTCATTCCTTATTGGTGAAGACTACAACCAGGAAAATCACCATCGCCTATGTTTCTGAGTACTGCTGAATAGTCTTACCCATTTTCAGTCATCAAGAACTATGTATGATGTTATTTTGACAACATAAAATTGTCCAGTTCAAAAAAAACCAAACAACTTGTGGAGGTGCTCCATCTTGCCTTGAATGTTTTGAAGCCCCTTTATATAGAGACTAGACTTGCTGTGGTAGAAACTGGACTGGAAGGCAGGCCAGGAGCCCTGCCTTTGTTGTGGTTGTTGCTTTCTCTCCTTCCCTGTAGTGGTCCCTGAGACACGTCCCTGAGAGTTCAAGCACACTATGGAATAGCTTGAAAAGTACTAGCGTCATAGGAGGGGTGGGCGATTCGAAGACGTACATCACTCGGGACTATGAAGCCATGCACTACCAGTTACTAGTCTTACTAGTTATCTTTGGCCACTTATTCTATCTCACTGAGTCTTCATCATCACTGTATCTTCAGCCATAAAGTGTGCTAAAAGTATAACAGTATTGTCTAACTTTTATGGTTATTGTAAAGATCGAGTAAGACCATAAATTTTAAAATATTTTGTAAACAAGAATTTGCTATGATTAGTAAAAGGTTTCCCCTTTATATATGTTGTTGTTTCTAAATGGCATTGTGTTGGTTCCAGCTCATATTGACCCTATATAGAGTTTCTGAGTAGCAGCTGGTGAGTTTGAACTGCCAACCTGCAAAAAGTTCATGGTAAAATTCCATTACCTCTTAGTTCCATTGTTCCATGAATGTTTTGAAGTCCCTCATATATGGCAACCATTGATCCATGTTGGAAGAGAGAGTCTTCTTTGGAGATGGGAGTTGTCTCAGTTAGTTACCCGTGCTGCTATGACAAATACCACAAATGGGTGGCTTCAACAAATTTCTCACAGATTAGGAGGTTAGCCATCCAAATTCAGGGTGCCAGCTCTGAAGGAAGGTTCTTGTCTCTTCTGAGCTTTTGCTCTTGAGCAATTGTCATGCAGCTGGGCATCTTCCTTCCCATTCCTTCTTCTCTCCCTTGCTTATATAATCATCTTGGTATCTCAAAAGAGATTGAAGAGATGGACTCAAGATACACCTTATAATAAGGCTGCCTTTTGATCATAATAAAGACAACCCATTCCCAAATGGTAGTATAAACAGAAGCATGCTGATTTTGTTGTTAAGTGCTATTGATTCACTTCTGACGCATAGTGACCCTGTATAGTGTTTCTGAGGGGGGCGACGGGTGGGTTTGAACTGCCAACCTTGTGGTTAGCAGTCCATTCTTTAACACCACACCAGGACCCCAACCGTGGGTATAAAAACTAGGATTTACAAAACAACTCAATCCATAACATTCTACCCTTTGGCCCCTCAAAACTAATGTCCTTCCCACACGCAAAGCACATTCACCCCATCATATCATCCCAAAGTCTTAAATCAACTCCAAGTCTAAAATCTCATCTTGTAAATCATATAAATCAAATACGGGTGTCACTGCATGTATTTTAGGAGCACAGAGACTGTAAGATAAACTCTGGACTACTAACCACAAGGTTGGCAATTTGAGTCCACCTGATGCTTCTGGGGAGAAAGATGAATCTTTCTGTTCCCTAAAAGATACATAGCCTTGGAAATCCTGTACAGAGTTACTATGAGTCAGATCTGACCTGATGGCACTTACAAACAACATCAGCAGGCATATTTTATCCTTGGGCAAAATTCCTCTTAACATGTGAACTGTGAAACCTCAATTATGAGTTACCTGCTTCCAGAGTACAATGGTGGAACAGGACAAAGTAGGCAATTCCATTCCATATGGAAGAAATTGGAGAGAAAGAAGGGATAACCGGCATCAAGCAAGCCTAAAACTCAGCAAAACAAATTGCATTCACTCTTAAGGCTTGGAAAGAATCCTGTGTTCTCTTAAATCATCTGGACAGTTGTCCCACACTCCAGGTTCTGGGTGTTAGCCATGTCCTTTGAATTGTGGGTAGAAGCTCTTCAGCTCTGGACTTCTGGTTTGCCTTCTAGACCCTCTGAGGTGACAGTTCTGCTCTCACAGAGTTAGATGGTCCTTTTCTAAACCCACTCCTCAGCTGTGACAGGCCTGTTCTGCTGCCCCTTAACACTGCAGCTCCACCCCTACAGGTTTGGGTGGCAGCTCTATCTCCCTGGCTCCTTTACAGTAGCCCCACATTCCAGAACAGAATTTACAAAGAACCTTAGGAGACTCCTCTCTTTGAAACTGAGAAGGCCCTGCTTCCCATGCTCCTCCCAACAGTTCTGCCGGTCTCTGAGTTGCCCCAGGGATGGCCCTTCTCTTTATTGGAGGACAATAGATGTAATTCTTCTGGCCTAGTTCCTACCTGTAGAATCTCAAGAGGCAAGCAGTGTGCTCCCCTTTCTTTATTTTTCTGTCCTCTTTGCTTTTAACTAATGGGTTTTCCACCATGGTAGTTGGTTAGATCCATTAGACACAAGTTTAATTTCTTTATCAGATTTTTTTTTTTTTTTTTGTAGACTTGGTGAAAATTCTAGGACACGTGTCCTTAGTTTTCTACAATAGATTTTCCAAATCTTTAAAGTTTTGTTTTGTTTTTGTTTGTTTTTGCCCATTTCATTTTTAACTCCTTCTCTTTCCTCTCTCAATTTACTACAAGCAACAAGAATAAACCAGATGGCCCCTTTAAGATCTTGTACAGAATCTCCTCAAATATCCAAGTTCATCACTTAAAAGTTCTACCTTCCACCAAACATTTGAACATAATTCAGACACGCTTTTGTGACTGCCTGAAAAGTATCACCCTTCCTCCACTGTTGAGTCAACCTGTTCATCGTTTTCTTTTGAAACCTCACCAGAAGCACATTTGATGTCCACAGTTCTAGCAGCATTCTGTTGCAGGTGCCAACTGTACAAAGGGGCTTCAAACAGAGAAAAAGGAATTGAAAGATAATGGGATTTTTCCATGAACTTTTTACTCCCTCATATTCTCTAAGCCGAAAAATGCATTTTCTGTAGCACTGCTCACCTCCTTCTGAGCCCTCACCAGAATTGTCTTTGACAACCATGATTCTACTCACTGTCTCTTTAAGGCAATCTAGGCTTTTACTATCAAGCCACCTTTAAAACTCTTTCAGCCTTTACCCATCACTCAATTCTAAAACCAGCTTCACAAAATAGGTGCTTGTTAGAGCAATATGATAGTTAAGGTTCTTGGTTTGACCAGGATTCTTAGTGGTTTGCCAAGTAAGATGTAGTTATCACCTCCATAATGAGATTTAATGTGATGCAGACTCCCCCGTGATGTGATCAGCTCTGAGCTATTGTAATTCTCCTTTGTGTTGTAAATCCTCACTTATATGATCATAATAAGGTCAGATGTAATCTGAAGGATTGGGTTGTATTTTAAAGTCAATCTCATTTGAGATATAAAAGGAGAGAGAAGTGACCAGAGTTCAGAGGAACCTACTAACCACCAAGACAGAAGAGCCGAGAGTGGAGTATGTCTTCTGGACTGAGGTCCCTGTACTATAAAGATCCTAGATCCAGGGGAAGACTGATGCCAAGATGGATTGTGATCACCAAGGAATGCAGGGCCTGTAGATGTTGACAGAAGACAAGGACCTTTCCCCAGAGCTGACGAAGAGAAAGACTTCCCCTAGACCTTGCACTCTGAATTTGAATTTCTAGCCTCTGGTAGCGTAGTGGTTACGAATCGGGCTGCGAACCTTAAGGTCAGCGGTTCGAAACTACCAGCTGCTCCTCAGAAACCCTATACAGGGTT